CGATCACTGACCCCCCGCCACCCCCTCACCCCGGTCACCAGTCAAGGAGGACGTCTCCCTGTCGTATGTGGTCCGGATTGTGGCCTCGCCGCGGCTATGTGGCAGCCTCGGCCGCTATAGCATCCTTGCCCACCTGTCCCTCAACGGGTCGACCCTCACATGCACGCATGTCATCCTCCTATCCCGGGCCCTGGCGAAGCTTGCGCCGAACTTGCTGACGCTGAATTTGTCAGGTGCGTCGTGTGCCGGCCCACATCGTGGGACAGCCCTCCGCCGGCGTGCCATTTACTGACGCCCCTTGGCCGGTTCCCCAGACAATGTCATCGGCAACCGCGGTGCTGCCGCCATCGGGAGATACTTGCTCTGCTCGGCAGCCGACACAGGGCGGACCTCTCGCCGGAAGGGCAGCCTGTGGGATGGTGGCCTGCAGCGACTGGACCTAAGCCGTGCGTGATGGCAGCCACGCCCGGCAAGCCGGCCGCCAAGGGGGGCGGGCGGATGTCACCACGCGTAATCATACTCACCCGTCAAGCCACTCACGCTCCTGGCCGCGGAAATGGGGCCCGGTCAGAAAATGTCATCACCAAGCGCGGCCTTGCGGTGATGGTCCGACACATCGTCCTCAGCCGCCGGGGGTTCCTCCAGCGGGTGGCCCGCGCCCTGACGGTGCTGGCCGGCGACGGACAGGACATCCTGGTCGGGCTGCCTGCTTGCATTGAGCGGGCCATCGGCCCCCGTTTGTGCCATCTGGAACTGAGTGGTACGAGCTCTCGGCACCAGGCCCCCATGCCCGGCATGGCACTTTCAGCTAACCGGCCGCTCTCTCTCTCTCTTGCCCGGGAACAGGCAATCCCCTGGAATACCGCGGCGCCGTCATCCTGGGGCAGCTGGTGCAGCCGGTCGAGTGCGATGCGCTGAGGACCCTCGTCGCCGGGTTGCCAGCCTCTCGAGTGCCGGCATTTTGGCGACATCTCTCCACAGCCATGCCCGGGCTTTTCCTGGGATTACGAAGTGCGCAATCGCAGACACGCGGATACAGACCCGCCCCCCCCCTCCCGCCCCACCTCGCCCCACCTCGCCCCACCCCGACACCATGGCTTCTCTCTGCAATGGCACGCCACTCACCCGACCGAGGGGCCCCGCTCGCAGTCACACTCTTTCAGGATGATGGGGTCGAGTACTTTATGGACCACTTGGCCAGCTTCCATCAGAATGTGACAGCATGCGACTTCTGCTTCCCAAGTGCGCAGATTGCCCCGGGCTACCGGCTGCGGCGCCGCATGCCGGCCATGCTGTCCCCGCTGCGGCCAGCCTGCTGGATTGTGCCCTGGCTGGACCTGGACATTTCCGGTACGATGAGATGATCCCCATACCGAGCAGCAGGTCCCCGGTGACCTCCCTCTGACTGAGCCTCGGCCCGCTGCGCGCCCGGCCCCTCGGCCCTGCTCCGGGCTCGCGCGTGCTCCCTTCGCGCGAAGCCAACGGTCTTTCCGGCGAGGCGGGCGATCGCATCGCGGAACTGCTGCTCTCGCAGCAGCACAACACACAGGACATCCCCCTCGGGCAAGTGACCCTTCTCCGGCGCCTGGGCCTCATTGGTGCGTCTGTCGATGTGTGAGGCAGAACTACATGCCCTGTCAGAGCCCCGCCCCCCCCCCTCTCTCTCCCCTCGACAGGGGCCCTGCTCGGGGGTGTTCGCGTCTCGCACTTTTGGGTCCTTTGAAAAGTTGAAGCTCCCCGCGCTCACCCTGGCCATGGGTGTATTTCCCCCGGTGCCCGACGCCAGGAAACCCCCTACTCGCGGTCAATGGCCTGCGGTCTTTGTGCCTGGCCATTGCCGGCGGCTTCCCCCGGCCGCATGGGCAGTTCAGCATCGGCCGCCAGACACGCTCGATCGGGCGCAAACTCCAGGGCTTGAAGATCGGCCAGATCCCCCTGCCGTCGGCGGTGGCGGCGCAAGTGTGCCTGTCGGCCCTCTTCGCTCCGCAGGTGCGTCTCCTTCAGGGAGTCGAGGGGCTGCCCTTTTCCGAGGTCGCCGCTGCCGTGCCGCCATCCGGGCTCAACTCGGCCCCGCGCATCGGTGACATCTTCCTCCTGCAGCTGGCCGAGTCGGAGCTGGTGGCCTCCTTGGTCGATTGGTCCAAGGAGATGGCGGCCATGGCCGCGGCGTCGGCCGGCGATCGAGCCCGAAGGGGTCGCAAGGCCGGTGGCATCCTGGCGGCTCTGGCCGAGCCGAAGACCCTGTGTCGTCGGTGCTGCGCGCTTGTGGCGCTTTCGGTGCAACGCGACACGGCCCCCTTCCCGCCGGGGTTCTGGCAGTCCGGCGTCAGTGAGCTGGCTGCCCTGGACCTCGGTGGACTGGCCTTAGACCCGGAAGGGGTCAATGCCCTGGCGCTGGGGCTTCTCCTGAGGCAGGACTACCATGGGTCCCTGGCGTCCGGGCTGGTGGATGCCATGGCCCAGCCGCCGGGCTTGAAGTTTCTGTCCCTGCGCAACTGCAACGTGGACCCCACCTCGCTGAAGGTGGCTTTGCAGGCTCTGGAGGCGCCGGCACACGGGGTCGGGCTCCTGTCTCCCTTCCCGCAGTTGCAGCTGGAGATGGGTCTGCTTTTGACCCTGCACCAGATGAAGCCCTTTGCCCTGTCACGGGGCCTGCTCCTCCCTCTGGAGGCTGGCCGGGATACGCAACCCCTCATCGAAGCAAAGAAGACCTTCCAAAACTTCAATGCCATCACCGCGCAGCTCCTGCTCGATCCGACTCTGGCGGCCCCGGCCAGTCGGCGGTCGCTCCTGTGTGCGGCCCTCAAGGAGGTTGCCCATCGAGGCGCCGTCGCAGATCGTCTGCTCCCGGTTTTCGATTGGATGGCCGCCACGTGGCCGGATTTCCCGCTGGTCGATCGGAGTGCCATCGCCAGCCGCGGAGCCGGGACCTCGTTCCTGGGACATGATCTGGATTTCCTGGACATCTCAGGTGCGCATGACTGGCGCCCTGCCCTCACCGGCACTGGCTTTTCCATCTGGCACTCTCACTCGAGGTGGTGTGCCGCTCCACGGGGGGGGG